CCCAAAAAAAAAAAAAAAAAAAAAACTAACAGGCAACTATAATAATAAGACCATATATTTGGTAGACAAAATGTTTTCATTTTATTTTTTTAATTTTTAAATTTTTTGGCTGCGCCATGCTGCGTAAGGGATCTTAGTTCCCTAGCCAGGGGTCGAACCTGCGCCCCTTGCAGTGGAAGCACGGGGTCTTAACCACTGGAACGCCAGGGAAGTCCCCAGGACAGAATGTTTTTAAACATGAGGTTCCTAGGAGAAAAGAGAGGGGTCATTAATGGGGAGTGGGTTGAGAACCAGTGTATTTGCAGTTCTTCTCATTAACTCCAGCCTCCATTATAAATATTCCAAAGCTCATCGTTTAAAACCTACCATAGTAATTCCCTATATAGACCATTCTGGCTTCTCCAGTAGGATTATGAAGAGCAATGATGTTCTTCTTTAGAGTGCCTTCTAAAACACTTCCCCCTTTCTTGCTTATTTAAATATTAAAATTTTCTTTTTAAAATAGATAACATACTTGCATACCTCAGAATCCTAAAGACGCAGTTGAATATATGGAGAAAAGTCTGCTTTCCACCTCTGTCCTCCCAGCCACACAGTTTTTCTCCCTGAAGACAACCTGTGTCAACAGTTTCCAGAATATCCTTCTAGAGAGATTTTATGTATATGCAAGCACATGCATCTATGTATTCTTTTTACTTCCTTTTAATCTCAGTGGTATCATACCGTATATGCTGTTCTTCACTTTACTAGAAATTCTAGTGGGTATTGCAGGAAGAAAATGCTTTTCCTTTCCTTAAAAATCCAGAAGGTGGCACTTTCCTGGTGGTCCAGTGGTTGTGACTCTGCCCTTCCACTGCAGGGGGTGTGAAAAAAAAATCCAGAAGGTGTTAAACGACGTGGGAAGAGATTTCTTTAATAAGTCTGCTTTTCAATAACCCAGCATGTGATGGAGGCCAAGGGCTGGGAGTGGGGCTTGAGTTCTCGTCTTAGCTCTGCCACTAATGTAGTCTCTCAGGCAGTGTAATGTATGTGCACCTTGTCCTTTTCGTTTCAGTGAGGGGATATGAGTATGTTTTGGAGCCCTCACCCGTCCCACTGCCACTGGACAGACCTCAGGAGACGCAGGTGCTGCAAGTCTCCTGCGGCAGAGCCCACTCTCTTGTTCTGACAGACAGCGAAGGAGGTGATGGGAGAGTGGGGACCACTATTCCGCTGTTGGGCCTGAAGCGGCTCGTTCAGTTGAGCCACATCTAGTTAGTGAAGCTGTTGGCATTTCCCAAGCAAGTCAGTAGGATGGTTTCAGGAGAGCTGTGTTGGGCAGCCCTTGCTAACTCTTCCGTGTTCTCTGCCCTCTGTGGTTCTTGGAAAACCTCAGGTATTTATAAGTGTGATGGCGCACAGCAGGCAGCCTTATTTTGGCCCCCTGCTCCTTAGCCATGGAGCCACCAACCCGACCGGGTGTGTAGACAGCTTTTTCCCTTGTACTGAACGCAGCCTGTTTGCTCACACTGCTTCCAGGTGGGGGGCTTCCACGGTCCAGGCTCCTGGCTCACCCTGGCGCTCTCTAGAAGAGCGGGTGTTTCCAGGGGAAGGTCCACCTA